AAACAAAAAGCCATGAAAAAAATGCCATGGCGGAGGCCTGGGGGTGCCAGCCCTCCCCTCCCCCCCGGCAGCCCGCTGGAAAGCCGCCGCGACCCGCCCGAGCGAGAAGAGCTCTCTGGTCCACCCTGTTGCGTCGGGATGGCCGCCAGGGGGCCTCTCGGCATGGGGGGTGTCGGGGGTGGACAGACCTCCTACCCTGACACGTCGATTAAGGAATTGGCCGTTTTCGGTTCGCGAGACGGCGTCGCGGCCGCCATTTTTTCGGGTCCAGGTCCGTCGGTTCCGGTCCCAGGCCGTTTTCACTAAGGGGAGGTCTACTAAGGGGAGGTTTGTCCACCGCCGAGGGTGGCTTTCACGTCGCTTGGTGTGACGACTGGGGGGGCTGAGCAGATTTGCAGAAGCTTTCCCAAACATCGGCCGGAAGTCTACCAGGCGCCTCAACGTGACAGGGGGCGTGGCAGCGGATCGCCATGTCCGAAGTCAGTTGGATAGACCATGTGCGCTCGCGACCCGCAGGGCATGCCCTGACGAATACGTCGCAGCGCCTGCAACGGGCTGCGTTGTTGTGTGTTCCTGGCATCGCAAATGCGCCGCGCGCGGGACTCATGAATTTCGGGTCCCACGTCACACGCCTTGAGAAGACCGCCCCACGCTTGCGGCGAGTTGTTGAATTTCTCTTAGTGCCCCCTGGCGACACTCCCATGCCGCATGCGCATGCACGCCGCCGTGAAGTACTTCCAGTGCGTGCGCGCGTCTTGCGGGCTTCTGACCCCTGCGCGTTGAGGGGCGGTGGCCGGTCCCCTCCCTGCTGGTCCAGATTCCCGCCGCGGTTCCCAGAAAAGCAGCCCGCGAGCCCTTTGGTTCTCATCCGCATGTGCGACGGTTTTGCATGAGATCAGTGTTGAGGCCCCGTTGATGCCCAGGTACGGATCCACATGTATGCATGTGTGCGCATTTGCATTCACACCTAGACGCGCTGATACGCTTGCACATGTATGTGCGCACCAGATATCCGCATAGACGTACGCACGCACCCCCGCGAGCGTACGCACAAGTGCATCGTTGCCTGCGCTTTTGATGCGTGCAACGTGTATACTTGCCGCACAGCTGAACCATGAGTGTATATGGGTGCATGTTTGCCGCGCAGCTGCTATTCTTTTCTAGGAAGCGGACGGGCTTCAGGCGAGCCTTGTGTTCCCTTTGTGTCCCGTCTTCCTCTTTCCCCTTTCTCCTCTATCCTCTCTCCGCCGCGCGCCCTGCTCAAGCGGGATGCGGGGCCCACTTGTCGTTTGACCACTCGGCCTGCTCCTCGAGAGATTGATGCTGGCCGCTGGAGCCTGAACTGGCGCCGCGAAAGAGTCATGGCGCCTCACTACGGCAGCAATGGTCGGAGGGTTGGGCAGATCATGCAGGCGACGGCGATGATGAAGACGCTGACAATCAGGAGTTCTTGGATTGTGTTGTGCATCCAGGAGCTCATCCAGAGCAAGTCCCAGGATGAAAGGCAACCACCCGATACTCGGCAGCGAAGCCCCGAATGCGACATGGCTCTGCAACACCCTCTTAGTGCACGTTCCTCAGGTGGAATAGGGGCATGCTGCTCTCCTCCGCGACCAGAAATGTTTAGTTTTCAGGCGAGGAAGTCTCAGGCGAAGCGCCTGGCCCGCCCTACCAAGTGGCCTCGGGGTGCGACAGGGAGAAGTTCTTTGTAAGGAAGAGGGATGGAGGAGGAGGAGGAGGAGAAGGAGGAGGAGGAGGAGAAAATGGAGGTGCATGACCCTTGCATTATCTCTGTCGGCGAAGCACGGGGACTCGTGTGTTCCCCCTCCCGTCCCCTGGTTGCGGATCACGCGTGCCGGGCGGGCCCGCCCGATGCGGAGGGATGGGGGGGGCGGGGGCGGGTCGCCGCGCCCGCCGCCGCGTGCGGAAGTGGGGAGACGTCGCGAGCAGGCACGTCGGGCAAGTTGGGAGGAGGATCGTTGCTAAGGGGAGGAGAAGGAAGGAGGGAGGAGGAGGAGGAAGAGGAGGAGGAGGAGGATGAGGAGGAGGAGGAGGAGGAGGCGGAAAGGGGGAGGAGGAGGAGGGAGGAGGAGGAGGAGGAGGAGGGAGGAGGAGGAGGAGGAGGAGGAGGAGGGAGGAGGAGGAGGAGGAGGAGGAGGAGGAGGAGGGAGGACGAGGAGGAGGAGGAGGAGGAGGAGGAGGAGGAGGATCGCGACGTATTAGCAGCACCATTCAAGGTCGCACGCAGGGCCCCAGGGCGGAGCGGGCTGCCGCGAACACCCTGGCGGAGTCAGGTGTGGGCACCCACGCTGGATCCGCCGGCAGAGAGGATGCGCAGGAAGAGGAGGAGGAGGAGGATGAGGAACATAAACATAGGCTTCGACGGTCCGCGTGGATCTCTCGGATCTGCCCTGGACCCCCGTGGCGGCGCCTCCGGCGACACCCCTGGCGCGCTCCTTGCGGATCCATGAAATTTGCGCGGACCGTCGAAAATTCATGCGTATGTCGTGTTCACTTCCTTCTAACAGGGACGACGAAAGGGGGGGATATGCACAGGGGGGGGATTTATCGACCCCCAATCGCCCATTGATCGCCAATAGGGGCCCCATAGCCCCAACCTGCGCAGGAACGTGCGGATTCACTATCGGGGGTCTATCGCCGATCCATCGGCGATTCATCGCTGATTCCAGGTAATAATATGCATCCCCCAATCTGCCAGTCCCTCCCTATCCCAGACCCGCGACGTCGCGCTTTTTGACAGCATCGACCCCCAGAGGTCTGGACCCTTTCCCCGGGACCAGTTTTTCATCCCGAATATTTTTGTTGACGGTCCCGAGGCCCGGGATGGGCCCCCGGAGGCCAAAAATTGCGAAAAACCTCCCGACCTCCTCCCTCCTCCTCCTCCCTCCTCCCTCCTCCACCCTCCGTCCCTCCCTACCTCCTCTTCCTTCCCCTCTCCTCTTCCGCCCCGCCGCCCTCGCCGCCGCCCGCCCGCCCACATGCTGCGCAAGTACGGGGCGCCCGCTTGTTTGTTCCTTTCTCCGACCCCATCTCTCCCTTTGGTGTTGGAGCGTGTTTGTGTGAATGTGTGTGTGTGTGTTGTGTGCGTGTGTGCGTGTGTGTGTGTGTGTGTATGTGTGTTTGTGTTTGTGTGTGTGCGTGTCTGTGTGTGCGTGTGCGTGTGCGTGCTCGTGCGCGTGCGTGCTCGTGCTCGTGAGCGTCCGTGTGCGCGTGCGCGTGCGCGTGCGCGTGCGCGTGCGTGTGTGTGTGTGTGTGTGTGTGTGTGTGTGTGTGTGTGTGTGTGTGTGCGTGTGCGTGGGCGTGCGCGTGCGCGTGCGCGTGGGCCTGGGCGTGTGCGTGTGCGTGTGCGTGTGCGTGTGCGTGTGCGTGTGCGTGTGCGTGTGCGTGTGCGTGTGCGTGCGCGTGCGTGTGTGCGTGTGCGTGTGCGTGTGCGTGTGCGCGTGTGCGTGTGCGTGTGCGCGTGCGCGTGGGCGTGGGCGTGTGCGTGTGCGTGTGCGTGTGCGTGTGCGTGCGCGTGCGTGTGCGTGTGCGTGTGCGTGTGCGCGTGCGTGCGTGTGCGTGTGCGTGTGCTTGTGCGCGTGTGTGTGTGTGTGTGTGTGTGTGTGTGTGTGTCTGTCCGCCCCCCCCCCACCCTTGCATTGGGAAACGAAGAATGGCATAAACAACTCAAATCGGAGGTCTGCGCGGATCCGACGCTCCGCGCGCCAGGGAGGGGGGTTCAACGCCGATCCGAGAAACCCGCCCGGACCTCCGACTTTGTATGTTTCTGCCATTGTTCGTTCCCCTACTTGCATGAAACTTCAGGCTTGGGGCACGGCCTCAGGCACAGGCCGTGCCCACCAGACCGCTCTTATTCTTGCCCCTGGAAAAGAGTCGCTCAATGCACGCCCCCCCCTTCACCGAAATTTAGCCTGCCCAGCTTTGCTGTGGCCAGGGTCGAACTCACCCCCTTACGCCCTTCTATTTCCTCCTCCAGCCTCCTGTCCCGCTTCTTCCTGTTGACTCGCTCCTCCTCTCCTCGCTCCTCCTCCCCCCGCTTCTCCTGCCTCCCTCCTTCCTCCTCGACCTGATTGTCGCCGTTGATGTTTGGATCTGTGCTTGGGCGCGCGCGCGTGTTCCCGCAGGCCCCCCTTGGCTCAAGACGGCGGGGGGCGGCAGGCCTCGAGAGGCCGCGGGCGCCGCCGTTTCCGCGCACCCGCAAAAACGGCCCGGCCGCCCCTCCATCGGAGACGCTGGTGCAGCAGCACCGGCGGCGCGCAGCAGCGGGTTCGGGAGGAGAGGCCTGTTCTAAGAACCGGAGGGGTCCAAAGATGGGGTTTTGGCGGGAGGGGGTCTGATCGAAACAGGGTATGCAAAGCCTCTGGGGGTCCCCTCCTGGAACCCCCCTCCCCAAAACCCCCCTTTGGAACCCTCCGGTAAGAAGGAAGGGTTGAGTCGGGCACGTCCCTCTACAGGAGGAAAGTTTTAAGATAGTCCACAACAAATAGTTAGTATGGGGACGATAATCTGACTATGTTTGGCTATGTTTGAACTTGTTGTGTCTAGTTTTCGATTTTTCGTCCAAAATCCGCCTGTAGCAGGACATGCCCGACCTGAAGGCAGGGGGGCTTCCCTGAGGAGGAAGGGGTGCCGATACCGCGCTGCAAAGGGACTATGGGTCTCCTGTGGGGCCCGCGTCGCCACCGCTGGGAGCCGATACCGCGCTGCAGACGCATCGTTTTCTCCTTTATGGGTCTCCCCGGGGCCCCCCGTCGCCGCCCCTGGATTCGCTCCGAAGTCCTGGAGAGGCGCGGGGAGCAGCGGCATCGGCATCTCTTGGTCTCCCCACTCCCCAAGGGATGTTCTGGCAGGCAGAGGCCCTGCCTTCCAGAAGACCCCTTGCGGGAGCCTCCGCGCCCGTCTGAGAAGCCCTTCGCTCTCGTGGAAGGCCCCCCCCCTCGCCCCCCACCGGCTTCTGCGGGCCGCCAGCAGCTGGGCGGATGAGGCTCGTGGTGAACTGCAACGGCCTCCGGCTGGACGTGCCCTGCGGAGCGGGCTGTCAGCACATCCGCTGGCTCGGTCTGGCGGTCGCCTCGCGGGTGAAGCGTGTGCAGTACCCGCACTCCTTCCTGGTACCGCTGCGGGTGATGAGCAGCGACGGCAGCGCCTTCAAGCCCCGCGACGTGATCAAGGACCACCTGCAGGACGGCGACGAGGTGACGGTTGTGCTGCGGCAGGGCGCCACGATCCCCGAGGACGACTACGAGATCAGGGAGTGGTTTGAGGAAGCGTACGGCCCGTCGTCCAATCTGATGGAGTGCAAGATCCGCTGGAAGCAGTCAAGTGACCCGAAGCTGTCACAAGACATCCCGAAGTACGTCCGCGGCGAGTTCAAAGTGGCCCCCAAGTGGCAGGGCGTGTACCCTCAGGAGGAGTTCGGCGGGACGTTCGAGCTCCCCATCGAGGCGGTAGAGCTCCCCGACAATCAGTACGACTGGGTGTCGATGCGAAAGGGGCCGCCAGGCAGCTGCACGTACAAGTTTGTCATGGACGGAGGCGTCGAGCAGGTCTGCAAGGCCAGCCCCGAGACTATGACCCCGGACAAGCAGGCTCACTATCAGGAGTTCTCCTGGGATGTGCCCATCGCCCCCGTGCCCTACCCCGAGGTCGACAGCCGCCCGTCCACGGCGTCCTCGAGGGACGGGGCACAGGTGGACCCCCGGTTCGAGCAGGACTGGGAGGACATGCGCCTGAAGTGGGTGGAGCCGCCCTCCATGAAGGTGCGGGTTAAGGACGTGCTGACCGAGTTCTACGCCATCTTGGTCGACCTCTTCGACTCCTACGCCTTCATGGGCCTGGACCTGTCCGCCGCGCAGCACACGATCGGCATGGACGACTGGAGGCACCTCCTGATCAATTGCGAGCTGCTCGAGGGCCAGCCAGACGGCCAGCTTCCTTGGAGCCTCGCCTGCAAGTGGTTCGAGGAGGTTCGGGGCAGCCCAAGTCACACAGTCATATGGATGTTGCATCGATTCTCTGCCTCCTCACCTTCATCCTCGTCGTAGGTTTTTGATCCTGGACTTTGTGCTGAGGGCAGCCGCCCAGCTTTCGCGCAGAAGACCGCAGGCCACCGCTGAAGATCGGCTGAGGCCGCCAGAGGCCGCCGAAGACCGGCGAAGTCCGACGTGGTAACAATCGCCCCATGTCGAACACGTAGGGGCCCTCCGAGTGGGGAGGCGCATCTCGCTGGACGTCTCTGGTGTTTTCGCTACCCTGATAGGCGGCTGGGGTGCGGGATGGGCGACCGCACCTGGCGCAGAGGCTGACCCGCGCTCATTACCTGGAGTTGCTGATGCGAACAGCGTACCACGCAATGTGCCAGTACCCGAAGCCGCAGTACGTAACCGAGACCGGCCGGCCCATGCCCTTGGACGAGGGCCTCTTCCGCTTCATCACCGACATCCTGATCCCTGTGATGGATGTGTACGACGAAGACCCGATCCGCAAGGACGCGGTGCAGCCGGAGGCCCTCGCGGCAATCCAGCAGAACCGGCCTTCCATTCGCTCGATCTACTCTTTCCTCGCGCAGCCGTGGGACCCATGCGAGGGCGAGGGTGTGGTCATCCCAGCGACGCTCTCTTTCGCGTTCGAGTACACGAAGGGCCAGATGGCCTCGTCCGCAGAAGGCGGTGCGCCGGCCGCGAGCGCGGAGGGAGATGCCGATGGCACGTTGAGGGAGGGCCTCGGGGCCGCCAGCGCGGAGCCTGCGCTGACCGAGGAAATGGTCGACGTGGTGTTGAACTCGCTCCCTGACGCCGTCGCCCAGATCACCAGGACTCCAGGCCACCCAAGCGGGGTCGACGTCTGTAGGCACGTCATGGTAAGAGACCGGCCTGCCAGCAGTTGCCCCACGGAAGGTTCTTATCTACTGGTGATCCCGTGGGCCCAGCGGATCTCTGGGGCACCTGAGGGCCCTCGAAGATCTACGAAAAATGCGCCCCAATCTTCCCCAACCACTGCTTGCACGGAAGGGTTCTTACTTTTGTTTTAAGAAATTGGGCCATGTCTTCGGTCCGCCTCTTTATGGCCGCCGTCGCCGCCCCGTCGCGCTACGTCGCCGCCTAGTCGACGCCCGTCGCCACCGTGGGATTGCACCAAATAGATCGCATGAGCAACACATCGCGGCTGCAGCGCGCGCTCTTGATAATCGCTCACAACAAAGGGTGCACCACCGATACGTATATATGTATATGTAAATATTACCAAAACTTGCACCACATGTTCGCACAACTTATACTGCGCATCCGCAGCTTCTTACCCACGCATACATATATATATGTATGTATGGATATATCTCCAGACTACTGTATACACACATTTTTAAGGCACCTACACATTGCACCATATCGATTGCATAGGACAGACTGCACCACCTAGATTCAACAACCACATTGGTGGCACGACATATATTGCACAGCAGAAGTTGCAACACATCTAGTGTACCGCGTAGATGGCACTACATGGATAGCTCTACATCGGTTTTCCCGCACAGATTGCAGAACGTAGATTGCACAATGTGTTGTTTCGCTCCTGCAGTGTTTTCATCGCTAGCGACATATACTGCACTACATGTATTGCCTTGGTGCCTTGGAAACGCCCAGGACGTGTCTGTATAGTTTCCGACTCTTTACGTTTTGTAAATCAACAGCGTGGATGTGTAAACGATTTGTTCTATACAATCCTAAAAGGACAATACATGAAACCGGAAACGCTACACAAACGTTTCCGCACGATCTTTTGGAAATTATGTTTACGCGAATCTGCGCGAGTTGGAATCAGTAAGGAAACGCCCCACATAAACCATTACAAACTGGGTTGGTACGATAACGCCGACGATAATGAATACGTGGCGGCGCAGCCAGCAACAGAAGCAGCAGGCAGTAGCAGCAGGCAGTAGCAGCAAGCAGTAGTAGCAGGCAGTAGCAGCAGGCAGTAGCACCACCAGGCAGCACAGGATGAATTTGGCGGCTGCAGCGGGGAGGAGGTGAAGCCTGTTGGAGAGAGCGTCGAGCTCTGATCGCGCGTTACCTATCAGTCGCTGTCCGACCCACGGGAGTGTGGGGTTGGCAGCGAGTTGGAAACGCCTTGGGGGCGTATGGGATACGTATTGGAGACGGTGCCGCTTGTTCGACGCCGCAGCGCGGCAGAGGCAGTCCGCACTCGCTTCCAGGCAGCCCGGGATCCGTTGTTGAGAATTGTGCCGCATGCACGAGGAGGGGGGAAGACGAGAGGCGGCCGTGGAGACAGGAGGCGACAAAAAAGACAGCGCTTTCATGCGGCGAGTCCGAGGGGGGGCGCGCGGGGCGGCCGGGCCGCAGGGCAGCCCCCAGCAGCGAGCGCGGGGCGCCGTCACGGGCGCACCCGGGGGAGGAGCCGGCGGCCGCGGTGCAGGGCGGGGCTCAGCAAGTGGGGAAGGTGCAGGAGCGACGGGCCGCCAGGGTGGAGGACCATGGGCGCGGGGAGGGCGGGCTGGTGCTGGCTGCGCGGGCCTGCTGCGGTGGGCAGGGCGCGGGGCTCTGCGCCCGTGCGGCGCGGCGGGGGCGAAGCGCGACCGCGGCGCGGGGAGGGGAGAGGCGGCGAGAAGCGGGGGAGAGCCAGTCAAAGCCGAGTGGCAGGAAAGAGCCCTGGCGTCCAGCTGCCGTAAGGCGGCGCGTGGAGGCCGCGCAAAAGGCCAGGGGCGGCTGGGTGGGTGCAAAGAAGAGGCAGCGGGCCGAGCCCAGGGCCGGCGCACGCATCGCAGCCATGAGCAGGGCGGCGCCCAGCGGAAACGGGTGTTGGGCGAAGGCTCCCGGCGGGCAGCCGGGAGGCAAAACGGGAGGGCGATGCCGCGGCGGCGCGGTGCGCCAAACGGGCTGGGACCAGCGCAGGGCGCGGCACCTGGGGTGGATGCCGCGCTCGTGGGGCGGAAGCGGGCGCACCACCGGTGCGGATGGCGCGCAGTTGCGCAGACGGGTAAACACCGCTGGGAGGCGGACAACTTAAGGCGCCTCACGTGGGGTGGATGACTCCGGGGCAGGGAGTGGAGCATCACCTGGGGTGGATGACGCGCCCGTGAGAGCGCTCCGAGCCGGTGCTCAGCCAGGTTGATCAGAAGCCGGGGCACGCCCACAGAAGAGCCAAGCGCACCACCTGGGGTGGATGGCGCGCCTGGGAGTCGGAGTGTGGCGCGCCCCTATGGGGAGAGGCGCGCCGAGCGAAACGCACCTCCGAGACGCGGGGCGCCTCCGAAACGCACAGACAGCCTCATGGGGTAGAAGGCACTTCGCGGTGGCCACAGTCCAGGTGGGTCGGCGACGCGCCCCGTTGGCCCAGGAACTACGTTGCTGGGTCGTCGTCGTAGGCCAGGCGTCGGTAAGAGCCGGCGCAAGCGGGCCCCCTGGAGCAGCGGCGCACGGGTGGCTCAAAGCAGTTCATAATGGATAAGAAAACGTCGGAGGAAGGTGGCATCGTGCCAGCTGGGGTCGCGGGAGTTGCCCCCACGCCGAGCACATAACCTATGCCAGGCCGCCTGGCCGCCCCACTTTCACCCCTTATCTGCTGCATCTTCCTGACCCCGGTCACGAGGGCCCCCCTCGAACTCAGGAAGTCGAGAAGGACGCGAGTTGGGACATCCTCAGGACGTGCCCGCCCTTTGCCTTGCTTCCTAGACTCCGAGGCGAACGCCGTCTCCACAACCTTTTCCACGCCGACGTCGACGAAGCCGTCCTCCTCTTCCTCCTCCTCGACGGCCTCCCCCACCGTCTGCCCCAAGTTTGCTGCAATGCATGCGGTCTCTGAAGTGGTGCCGCCCGCTAGGCGAAAACGCATGCCCACCGATAGGAGTGCCAGGGTCGCTCAGATATGTAATGGTGTGGCCCCTGACTCCGGGGGGCCGCGCGTGACGACCCAAGCAGCGTCTTTGCTTATGTCACTGCCGCCGCCGCCGCCTAGGCCTCCGCCGCCGCCTATGCCGCCACCGCCGCCGCCAACGCCATCCCCGCCTTCGGCCTTTCTCTCCGTCGCCACCACCGCCGCCCCCGCCCTCGAGGTCTTGTACAACCCCTCCCTCAACCTCCGCCTCCGCCTGTACTTCTTCCACCTCACGCCGCACCTCTTCCCCCACCGCCTGGTCGACGTCGTCTTGCAAGCAATGCAGATCATGCTGATGCTGTTGAGACCCGCCATGCTGCTGAAGTTCGCGCAGCTGGTTTCCGTAATGTTGCTCGCGATGGCGCTGCTGGAGTTCCTCACGCTGCTGGAATCCGTCGAGTTGCTCACGGTGGTGTTGTCGGCGCCCGCCATGCTGCTCACGATGGTGCTGCTGGAGTTCGTCCCTCTGCGCATGTACGTGCTGCTGGAACCCGCCGTGCTGCTCATGGACGTGCGGCCGTAGTCCATCGTATGCGCAGGCCGCCCCGCGCGGCCAGCACGGCCGCCCGGGACCCTGCGCAGGCGGCCGCCCAGAGGCCACGGCCGTCGCAGCCCCGGCCGCGCGGACAGCGCGCCAAGCGGCCGCGGCCGCGGCACGGCTGGCGTCGGCCTGCCCGCCGGCGAAGCCAGCGGCGGGGCTGGCGGCGGGACGGCGGCGGCTGCGCCCGCTAGCTCGCCCAGCGGCGGCCGCAGGGCCAGAAGCGGCCGCACAAGACGATGGGCCCTGGGGCGATGCCAGGGTGGCCGCGCCACGGCGGCCGCGACGCCAGCGTCGCCCGCGGCGCCCGCAGCGCATGCAGCACCCGCGGCGGCAGCGGCGCCGGCGGAAGCGGCGGCCCCAGTGACGCTGGCGTGGCCAGCGGCGTCAGCGGCGCCGACGGCGCCAGAGACGCCAGCGTCGCCCGCGGCGCCCGCAGCGCCTGCAGCACCCGCGGCGGCAGCGGCGCCGGCGGAAACGGCGGCCCCGGTGACGCCGGCGTGGCCAGCAGCGTCAGCGGCGCCGACGGCGCCAGAGACGCCAGCGTCGCCAGCGGCGCCCGCAGCGCCTGCAGCACCCGCGGCGGCAGCGGCGCCAGCGGAAGCGGCGGCCCCGGTGACGCCGGCGTGGCCAGCAGCGTCAGCGGCGCCGACGGCGCCAGAGACGCCAGCGTCGCCAGCGGCGCCCGCAGCGCATGCAGCACCCGCGGCGGCAGCGGCGCCGGCGGAAGCGGCGGCCCCAGTGACGCTGGCGTGGCCAGCGGCGTCAGCGGCGCCAACGTTGCCAGAGACGCCCGCGGCAACCGCGGCGCCGGCAACGCCATCGGCGCCAGGCGCCCGCAGCGCCAGCGGCGTCCGCAGCTCGGGCCGCCCGGGCGGCCGCCCGCTGGCGCCGTCGCCTCGCCGCCGCGGTTTCCATGGCGAGGGCCGCCGGCGCGACCGCAGGCCAGGCCGCGCGAACCACTTTGAGCCAGAGCGGCTTGAGCCCAAGGGGCACGGCAAAACGACCTCAAACATGCATCTTCGACTTTGTCCCAGGGGGCGGAAATATTGAGGATGCCGCCGTCGCCGCGGAGGCCACGGTTGCCACGCCGACGCCGCCGTTATGACACCACCGATGTCTCCAGGTCTGACTCGCAATCGAAGGGGTCTGACAGCGAATGAATAACAGGCGACGCGCGACAAAAGCGCCCCACTCTCTCCAATCAGTCTTCTCTGGTGCACCTGCTGTCCGCTGCAGACCCCAAATCCTTGCTTGATCGTGTCTGTTGTTCCCTGCTGCGCGCTGCTACTTCTGATTATTGCTGTTGCTGCTTGCAGGTGCCCCACTGCCGCTTGGTAGTTGTCCATGCGCACCAAGACTACAATAGCGTGTACAAAAAACCACGTTGCAAGGCAGACCGGACAACGTTGGACAAACGAACGTTGAAACTATCCCATGGGAACGTTTTGTAGGATTGGCGTCGGAAGCGGCAAACCAACGCATCGCCACTGATATTTGAAAACGAAATAAACACGACAGCCGGGGAACAATTGGAACAACAACTAGTTGATTTCACAGAAGTTGTAAACTACCACACATAATCGTTTTGGGGGTTTCCAGAGCACACCACACATGTTTCATCACCAACGTTGCACAACACAGGTTGCACATCACAGTGTGAACCACATGGATTGCACGACATTGCTTGTTCGGTATAGACACCAGAACCCGTTGTCCACAACATACATTGCACAATGTATGTTGCTAAATCACAGAACTTGGGGCCTATGCGGACGAACAGTTGTTGCAGCCGAGTGTTTGTGTCGCATGTTTTTACTGAAGATGGGGTCTGTGGATCGTTCCGTGTTGATGCATCGGACAGGACTCAACTTCTGAGCCCGATGTTTTCCGAGCCCGAAGTTACCGATGCATCGGCAGTGGATGCGGAGCAACCCTCTGAGGCCATGCGCTCTGACACCACCTTGGGCGTTCCGTCGATGGCTCTGTCTTCGGGGGATCGGGAGTTGCCAGACTTGGCCTCTGGGGGCTCTGGATGGGCCGCAGGGCCGGCAAACAGCGGCTCAGCAGGACGAGGCCCGTCCCCAGGAAGGGGTCTGTCCAGATGTTTGGGGGCCCACGGCCGGAAACATCACGACGTCGGAGATCTGGGTTTTGCAGCCTTTCCATGGCGGAAGGCCGGCGGAAGGCGGCGGAAAAAAGAGGTGGGTGCCTCCGCCCGCGGAAGGCCGGCGGGAGCCGTCGGAAACGGACGTTGTTTCTTCATTTTCATCAGCATCATCATCATATGGTGATGTTGTTGTTGATGGTGATGATGGGGTGATGATGATGATGGTGGTGATGATGATGATGATGGTGATGATGATGCTAATGCTGATGATGATGATGATGTTGATGATGATGATGATGATGATGATGATGATGATGGCGGTGACGATGACCATAATGATGTTGTTGATGCGGATGATGATGTTGATGTTGATGCTGATGATGATGCTGATGATGATGATGATGATGATGGTGATGATGATGATGATGATGATGATGATGATGATGATGCTGATTAGTCGGCCTTCCAAGAGATGGTATTGTTTCTGGATTCTTGGTTTCTGGGGTCCGCCGTCTGGGCGGCCAGCCGAGGAAGCACCCAGAGCCCATGCAGCAGCGCGCGCTCTTCTTCTGGGAGTTCTTTGAGGTCATGATGGAGGGCTGCCGGCAGCTGCAGGCACAGCTCGAGGTGCCGCTCCAGGCAGGGATTCCAGCCTGGGTGCAGACGGTCCTGGCGTTTGTCAACGCCTGCGACCGCGAGGAGGTGGCCACGGGGATCTGAAACAACCCAATCAGTCTTACCCCTCTCTGCGGCGCGCTATCGGCTACGGCTTGCGGACGGGCTTAGACAGTCAGGCATTGAGCAAGTCGGTAGGTTCTTCTTCAAAAACATATTATGTTTGGAACTGGGGACATGCTGCTGATCGGCCCCCCCTTGCCCCAACCCCTTGTGCGCGACGCCAAGTCGAACGTGCCACCGAGCACTGCAATGGGGGACCCTGTCATTTGGTGGGATTTTCTTTGCTGGGTGGTATCATTGGTGGCCTATTTTTTGCATTCTCCTGGTCGACTTGTGGAAGGCCCTCTTGGCCCAGAGATGGGAGGGGGAGGGGGAGGAGCAGGAGGAGGAGGGGGAGGAGGAGGAGGAGGAGGAGGAGGAGGAGGAGGAGGAGGAGGAGGAGGAGGAGGAGGAGGAGGAGAACGAGGGGGTGAGGAGGAGGAGAGGAGAGGAGGACGAGGAGGAGGAGGAGGAGGAGGAGGGGGAGGAGGAGGAGGAGGAGGAGGAGGGGGAGGAGGAGGAGGAGGAGGAGGAGGAGGAGGAGGAGGAGGAGGAGGAGGAGGAGGAGGAGGAGGAGGAGGAGGAGGAGGGGCCCTGCAGGCGAGGCTGCGTCCCTCCACTCCTGGGGCACCTCCTCCGCAGGCGCACCCCCGAGACGTTGCCAGGGGCGCGCTCCGGCCAGGACGCCATTGGGCAATGCAGCCGCTGCGACGACGAGGCTCCAGCTTCCAGAGGGACCTCAGCCCTCGACATGATCGCGTCGTTAATAAAAATTCAGGACAAAGGTTTTTCGTTATTTTCGGCCCCTGGGGGCCCTCGCTGGGCCCCGGGACCGTCAACAAACGATTCAGGATGACAAACTGGCCCCGGGCAAAGGGTCGGGACTTCCGGGGACGCCGTCCTGAAAAAGCAGGACTTGGCATGTCTGGGAATAGAGAGTCTCAGACACCTCGTCCCTTGAACCTCGACTCCAGACAATTTCTGTCCCAACCATCCTGTTGTGTGGGGTCCTCGTTTTGAAGAGAGCGTCCCGCGTGATTCCTTCCTCTGCCCTTCGCATGCCCACGTCGGCGCACCACTCACAGGATTCGTGGACCCACAAGACGCTCCACCGAATTCTCCTGCGCAAGGATTTGCATCCACGTTTCGTGGCCCAACCGGGGGTTCCACCGCAGGCTCGAATGGCAGGGTTCGCCCCACCGACCATTTCGGCACACCCCTCACACGTTTCGAGGCCGCACAGGGAGCTCCATCGAAGACTCCTGTGGTAGGTTTCGCATGCGTTTCCCCGCCAATGTCTGGACACCGCTCACCCGATTCGTGGCCCCACAAGGAGCTCCGCCGAAAGCACTTGTGGCAGGATTCGCATGCGTCCTCCTACCCACTTCGGCGCATCATTCGTTTCGTGGCCCCACAGGTAGCTTCACCGAACGTTCCAGTGGCAAAGTGCGCATTCGCTTCAATGGCTCCACCGGAGGCCCCAGTGGTAGGGTTCGCATGCGCCCCCCCGCCCATGTCGGCGCTCCCCTCACACGTTGGGTGGCCCCATAAGGGGGCTCCCCCATCCTTCGCCCCACCTGCCGTGCAGTATTCACACTTGCCTGTGTATGGGTCCCTCGCACAGATAATGTTTCCCGCGTGCCGGAGACATGTACGCGCCTTGGGGGTCCCACAACGGTGCGGTGACAGACCGCGCAGTGACCTCGGAACCCCCAGAGACCTCACCGCACGTTCAGTGACCGCACGGTTTGGGGACCATGGAGGTTCCAGTCGCCCGACCCTGACATCTTCCAGTGTGATTGTTGAACCTGCGGCCCCAGAGCTCCCGACCTTGTCCCTGGGGGTGGTTTTGCGCCTTTTGTCCATGGTTGGTGGCCCCCATTAAGAGGCTGGCGTCGAAGAGACACGCGCGGGTGGAACAGGTTGGGCCGTCCGAGAAGTGCGGATTTGCGCAAGACGCGCGCAGCCCCTTTGCCGCAGGTGAGGCTGCCGGACCCCCCGGACCTGGGGGCGGCGGGCCAGGAGCCCGCGGAAGGCGCCCCAGAGCAGCCGTGAGCTCGCGCGGGCCCCCGTTGGGGCCCCGTGCACGGGCACGGGGAGCCGGGGCCGCTCCTTTCGCGCGCCCCGGGGGAGGGGAGGGTCCGGATTCCCGTCCATTCCTCTTCGGCCTCCTAGATGGGGTCGGAGTAGATGGAGTCGGAGGGTCGCGCCTTATCGCCGATGCATTGGCGATGCGGCTCGATGTGCAGTCCTATTTTCTCCACGCTGACGTCGCGGATGTATCGCCGACGTCGCCAGTGCATGGCCGATGCATTGGCGATGCATCGCCGATGTATCAGCGATGCGGCCCGATCCCCCGACCGCATCTGGACCCCGTCCAGTTAGGAGCTGGGAGCCTGCTTTGCCATCTTAATTCCGTCTGTAGCGTCGATTAGCGTCGGTTAGCGCCTGGGAGTCGATGAGATAGCGCCGATTTAGCGTCGGTTGGCGAAGGTTAGCGTTGATGCAACGTCGATTTCGTGTCGACTAGCGTCGATCAGCGTCGATTCGCAAGAGCCGACACGATGGTATGAGAGGCCCCAATGAGTTGCCACCAGAATCGCCGATTCCAGGTTCATGTTTCTCCCCTGAGCTGATCCCCCCTGAGCTGGTCCCCCCTCTCGTTCCTTCTCGGCACGGTCGCGATATGGGGGCGAATTCTGACAGCAGCCCCTGCCCACTGTGGACAGGACCTTGCTGTCGGCGTCGCATGGAACCTTGTCTGTTTGAGAAAAGGAAGTCGCCTGCCCAGCAGGGCCGTCTGTCCGCTTTAGGCAGCATCTGATGTTAAGGGCCATGCCCACCGTCTCTTCGTACAGCTTCGGGCGTGCCAGCTCTGGCTCCTCTCTCCCCACGCATCCCCCTCACTCGAGAGGCTCGTGTACGCCATTCCGCCGACCCACGCGCGAAGCGAGGAGCCCATGGACATCGTGAGGGCCAGGTATGGCTTATAGACAGTCGCGCACAGGCATGCTGGGCTGACCTCTGTTTGGGAGGGATGGGGGGGTCAATACCGCAGCCCCCGCGAGGGTGTCGCGGGGTCCTCGATCGAAGGCCCTCTGGGCGTTTTGCAGCGCTGGGAGGGGCTTGCGAAGGGCCCGATAGAGCTCCGAGGGCGCCCCCCCCCCCCCCCCACACACACACCCACACCCCCGCCGGAGTGCCGCGCGTGGAGACGGTCGCAGCCTTCCCCGGTGCGTCCCCGCTTCCTGCACGGCTCCTCCTCGCCCGTCGCGCGGCCGGGCGTGCGCGCAGGGCGGGTTGTTCGGGCACGCCGCCTGGGCAGCTCGGGAGGCTACCGGGGAGCAGGGCTGGGCCTACACGCTGCTCTGCCGGACTTCGGCTGCGCTCTGCTTTGCGCTCTCGGGAGGGAGGTGCAGGAAAGCAGGTAGAGCAAAAGGAAACACAAACCGAAGACAAAACGGAACACCACAACGTGTAGGTCCAGCCCTGCCAGGAAGGCCTTGCAGCCGGTGCCGCCGTCCCTGAAGGGGGACGACGACCACGACGGCGGCGTCGGCGGCGACGACGACGCTGACGTGGGGCAAAGTCCTCAGGGATGCTTCGCGGGGCCTCATCGGAGCGCGCTCGTAGGCCTCTGGGGAGCAGTGTCGGGGCCTCTTGGGGGCACCCTGGGGGCCCCCTGGGGACATCTTGGGGATCCCCTTCGGGCTTCCTGGGGGCCTCTTGGGGGCGTCTTGGGGCCTCGTGGGAGTCGCTTGGGGCCTCTTGAGGCCTCCTGCGAGCTTCTCGGGGCCGAGGGCTCGAAATGTCTGTTCGGGTTACCGTGTGGGCACCCTCTTGGAGCCGTTTTGGGGGCCTCTTGGGCCAACTTGGAGGCCTCTAGGGCCGTCTGTGTGCTCTGTTGAGTCGTTTTGGGGCCGTCTTCGAAATCTCTTGGGGGCCTATTGTGCCGATCTTGGTAGCTTCTTTGGCCGTCTCGGGGCTTTGGGAAACCGAAAAGGCGAGAACGCCATAATCTTTCAAAGCCTACATAAGATTATCCCGTCGACGGACCCAACCATATGCAGTTGATGAGCGCCGTCGTTGTGAGTACCGTCTCCGGTGGATCTCCTCAAGGAGCATCGAAGCGAGTGAAGGGTGTGCCAGAATGCGACGGGCCGCCATGCGGGCGCTGCCACTGAGTTTTTCGAGCATCACGAGGGAACTGAAATTAAGGAGGGGGGCCAGCAAGAGGGGCCACTGGGACCTTCGGTGGAGCACCCTTGGGGACACGAAACGTGAGAGAGGATTACAAACATGCAGGGTGGAAACGCATGCGGGCGCTGCCACTGGGGCCTTCGGTGGAGCTCCCTGTGGGACCACGAGTCGTGTGGGCGGTTCTCCAAAATGTGCGGTGGAACCACATGCGGACGCTGCCACTGGGGCCTTCGGTGGAGCTCACTATGGGGCCACGAAGCGTGTGGGCGGAGCACCGACATGTGAGGTGGATCCGCATGCGGGCGCTGCCCTTGAGCCTTCGGTGGAGCTTCTCAGGGGGCCACGAAGCATGTGAGGGGTGTACCGAAATTGGGGTGGAACTGCATGCGGTCGCTGCCCTTAGGGCCTTCGGTGGAGCTCCCCAGGAGGCCACGAAGCGTGTGAGCGGTGCACCGACATTGGGGTGGAACTGCATGCGGGCGCTGCCACTGAGGCCTTCGGTGGAGCTCCCCAGGGGGCCACGAAGCGTGTGAGGCGTGCGACGGAATGAGTGTGAAACCGCCTTCGGGCGCTGCCACTGGGGCCTTCGGTGGAGCTCCCCAGGGGCCACGAAACGTCTGAAAGGTTGTGCCGAAATGGCGGTGGAACTGCAGGCGGGCGCTGCCCCTGGGGCCTTCGGTAGAGCTCCCCATGGGACCACGAAACATTTGAGGGGTGTGCCGAAATGGAAGTGGAACTGCATGTGGGCGCTGCCACTGGAGCCCTCGGTGGAGATCCCTTTGGGGCCACGAAGCGCATGATGGGTGTGCCGAAACGGTGTCTGGAGCCGCATGCGGGCGCTGCCACTGGGGTCTTCGATGGAGTTCCATATGGGGCCACGAAACGTGTGAGCGGTGCACCGAAAAGGATGGTGGAATTGCTTGCGGGCGCTGCCACTGGGTCCTTCGGTGGAGCTCACTATAAGGCCACAGAGAGTGCGAGGGCTATGCCGAATGGGAGAAGGGAGGAGGGTGGGGGCATCCGGAGGAGGAACACGGTGCGGGACGAGGACCCAACACCAGAGGATGGGTGGGAACACATGCATTTAGCTTGTAGGAGCCCTCTTGGCGTACTATTTGGGGCCCTCTCCGAACATCTTGGCAGCCGCTTGGGCTGTGAGGAAGCCGTCTTAGGCGTCTTGGACCGGCTGTTCGGCGAGTCGGGGCCAACTCTGGCTTGATGTGGGTTGAGGGCCTCCAGAGCGCCCCTCGCGAGGTCCAGGGGGCCCAGCAACTCCAAAGCGGAGCGACAAGCTAGGGGCACCTTGGGCGAGGGCCTCCTCCAGCAAACCCCGAAGGAGGTCGGCCACGCGCAGAAGGGGGGTAGGGGGAGGAGGGAAGCCCTCTTAGAAGGAGCGGTTTTTGTCTATAGACGTAAGACCTGCGCCCCTCCTCCTCCTCCTCCTCCTCCTCCTCCTCCTCCTCCTCCTTCGGCTGCATGCACGCCTCCTCCTCCTCCTCCTCCTCCTCCTCCTCCTCCTCCTCCTCCTCCTCCTCCTCCCTCTCCTGCCCATGGCAGTGGTGGTGGAACATCGACCCATCGGGGGGCACCTCCCAGCAACCCCCGAATGAGGATCAGGAGAAGAGCGGTCCTACGCCGCGCGGCGTGGCCCCGCGCGGCGAAGCCGCTGCGCCAGGCGCGAAGCCTGGCGCGCTCGGCGGGCCCATGGGACCTTCGCGGATGCACGCTGCTGGCTGTCCTTGCTGCGGTGCCAGAAAGGGGAGCGCCCTCCTCCGCTCTCCTCCGTCTGTTTCGTCCTCCTCCCTGAGATCCTCATCCCTCCTCCCCCTCCCCATCCTCCCCCCTCATCCCCTCCCTCTTCCTCCTTCCTCCCACTTTCTCGTGCTCATCATCTGTCCGCCGCCTCCTTCTCATCATCACCATCACCATCAGCACCATCATCATCAACAGCAACATAATCGTAAGTCCGCCGCGCGCTCAAGCCTTCGGTGACACAGCGGTCTCTTCAGAAGGGCCCTCCATGGTCTGCCAGAGGCAGAGAGCGCACTGCGATGGCAGCTCGCATGGGTGCCAGCTCCGGAGGTGCGTCTCGTGCGGCATGTTGACGCATTGCATGTTGAGGCTGGTTGAGGAGGTTTCCCCCAAGTGGGAGCAGCACGTCAAGAACAAGTTGCTGCTTATGCGCCACACATCCAACAAGCACACCGATCATCAGCTCAAACAGCTCGACGGCGCCGAGAAGAGAAAGCTGGTGGCGGTAAAGGTGGAGTACTAGCTGCTTACGAAGTTCTTGGCAGCGGTGCGGCGCAACCAAGACGAGCAGGTACACGACAGCCACAAGATCAAAACCAAGGGTCAGCTTGCCATCGTCATGGGGAACTACCGCCTCACCTGCGCATCTTACCGAGCGAATTCCAAAGTCCAGTATCACTTCCAGTGCCGCCGCTTCGACGATGGCAAGGTGCGTGCCTTCTTGCATACTGTCAAAGGGAGCTACTACTTCACTTGTGCTGCCACTGGGGAGCAGTCCAACATCGTGTGCGTCGTTGAGTACTAAGGCTGCGACGACGGCAACGTGCGCATCTTCTTGCACTTTCGTTCCGCGCAGTCCGTGCCCACGCAGAAGGAGTCCGAGAAGCCACGGCAGGAGAACCTGAAGGCGGAGCACGAGCCGCGCACGAAGCTCATGGGCGAGGCGCGGGGGACAGTCAAGGATGACGTTGCCAACGTCGCTGGGGCGGAGCAGTACCGCGAGAGGCACCACGACGAGCCCTTCGCCGACATCACGCGTTACGGAGTGCGCAGTGCCACAGGAGGCACTACGACGAGCCCTTCGCCGAGACCATGCGCTACAGAGTGGAACAGTACCACGGGGGGCACTGCGACAAGCCCTGCGTCGACATCATGCGCTACGCAGGAGGCACTGCGACGAGCCCTTCGCCGGCAGTACCACAGGAAACGCTACGACGAGCCCTTCGCGACATCATGCGCTACGGAGTGGAGCCAAGTCTCAGAAGATTCAGAGCATGCCGCAGGGCGCGCGCCGCCAGTCTTTGCAGTTTCTGTCTTCGCTTCCAGGCCAGACCCCCCCCCCAGCAGCTGCCGACTCGGGGTCGGCGGGGCGTGCGCGGCCAGTCTCAGAAGATCCAGGGCTGGAGCATGCCGCAGGGCGTGCGCTGCCAGTCCTAGAAGACTCAGAGCTGGCGCGTGCCACATGGCGCGCGCCGCCAGTCTTAGCAGCTGTTTTCTTCTCTGGGATAGCCGACTCGAGGGTGGCAGGGCGTGCGGCGCCAGTCTCAGCAGACTCAGAGCAGGAGCATGTTGCAGGGCGTGCGCCGCCATCCCCCGAATATTGCATGCCGTAGGGCGCGCGCCGCCAGTCTCAGCTGTTCATGTGTCCTTGCCTGGGCCAGCAGACTTGGGGTCGGCAGGGTTGGCGCAGCCAGACTCTGCAGCTCCATTCCTTGCGACTGGACCAGGCGGCCCAGCAGCTGCCGACTCGGGGCCAGCCCATCTTGAAGGGCCCGAGGGCCCACACGATCAGCCCTCGAATCCGAGAGCTATCTAGATGCAGCATGGTTCCCCTCTGAACGAATTCGAGATGATTGGCCTCGCGACGGGGAACGCATGGCCAGCCTGAGCCACGGTCTCTGCTCCAACCTCCGATCCCCCCCCCCCCCAAACGCTCAGCATGCAACGCGGGCGTCGCCAGCTGTCTACGGTTTTCCCTAGACCGCGCGCATCTGTGTGCAGCGCCCCGTGAAGCAGGGCTCCTAGCGAGCTCTTTAGGGAGCAACCGAGGTCTCTGCGACGGGCCATTTTTTCTATAACCTGTTGCTCAACAGTTTGGTCAGGATGTCGAGGAAAAACAACATAACCGTCGTCGTGCATCCCCCCCAGCATCATCATCAGCATCATCGGCATCGACATCTTCACCCTCATCATCAGCATTGTCATTATCATCATCAGCACCACAAGCACCATCGTTATCACCACCATCGCGGTAACCACTATGATCGCCATCGTCATCAGCATCATCAGTGGCATCAACATTATCACCAGCAGCACCATCATCATTACAAGCGCCGTCATTATCGCCAGCGTCATCATGATGTTCGTCATCACTATCACCATCATCGTCATCATCGTCGTTGTCGTCGCAGCTGGGCATGGCGAGTGTCGCAACGCGTGTCCTAATATCTCACGGAAGCTGCAGACACGAGCTGAGATGAGAGAACTGTGGTGGATGCGCTGTGCAGGGGGGGGGCTGGCGCGACCAATGCACGCTTCCACGGTGGAGAGGCGCGAGCCCGATAGGAACACCTGATCTATCCGTAGCCTTGCTGGCTCGACCTTCAAGGAGGTCCTGAACCCACCTGCAAAGCGACGCCCCCCGCTTCTTCACATCTTTCGCGGATGGACGGGGCGGTTCTTTTCCTAGGCGCTCGAGCGGCGACGTGGCGACGGGGGTGGGAGGAGAAGCACCGCGGCAGAAGACGCGGAAAGGGGCAAGTTCCTGGGGAAGGAACGCATGAACACGGTGGCCAAGTTCTTGGTGGTGCTGACGCGACTGACGCCCGCGAGCGCGGCCGAGCCGAGGGAGATCACTGGCGTGCTGTGGCGCGCGACGTCGCCGCCTCGAGTGCGCTGTGGCAAAGGAGGCCAGAACAGAGGGCATCGATTATCACGGAAAGGCAAAGAAAGCAGCAAAGGACGCCGCCCAGTCAGAAGCGTCGGGCCGACCATATGCGTACATCTTCATGGCAGTATTGCGCGCGCTGGTGACCCTGTGCGAACAGTCGAAGCTGTTGGACCAGACGAAACTGGAGAGTTTCTGGGGGACACAAGTGAAATCCGCCCGAAGTGCGGTCGACCTAGCGGAAATGGTCCTGCATTGCAGGGTGATGCCCGTGAGGAAGAAGGACAATGCTGGCGAGAAGGTGAATATATCGTTCGCAATCAAATCGACCCGTCCAGAGCTCGAGGCGGCGTTGGCCATGGGGCGCGAAGCCGATGGGAGGCAATGGCATGCCCAAGGTGGGGCCCGCATCCCGCGGGCACCTGGAGCGCCTGGCCCCGGAGCTGCTGTCGGAGCTGGAGGGCAAGGGCGGCGTTGGGGCAGCACGTGACAAGTCAAGATCGGGCGAGGCTCTAGCAGATTGTTGAATGTGGTGCAGGCTGGGCATGCATCGGTGAATGAAGCTCCCGCGCTCGCTGCAGGGTCGGTCCCGATTGCTCCAACTCGGCGAGGTGAGGCGCCACGCAAGGGAGAGGGCGGGAGGAGGCAATCTGGACGTGGGGATGGGGGGGGTTCGACGTTGATCTGAGTTTTTTTTCCCAGGAAGCTTTTGTGAGGCCCTCGGTTTTCGTTCCAAGGGGGGCGCTGGATGGCCACAGAGGCCACAACGCAAACGTGGGCGCTGTAGACAGCCAGGGAGTGCGGTCCACCCCCGCGCGCTGCAACCCGTACATTGTTACTAGGTATTCAGCACGTCCCACTTAACTATTAAGTTTGAGCCTCGACCTAATGTCGAACAAATTGTCGCACTGGGATAAAAGTCGCAGTCGGACATCGCTCCTACTGTTGTTGAATTGATTTGAAGAGTCGTCGTCGCTGTCGTCGTCGTTGTCGCCCCATTGCCAAAGAGGTGGCCGGGGCTGGGTGTCCCATATAATGTGGAGGCGATGAGATTCATCGCCCCCACATTACAGTCCTCGCTGCTTAGCCCCACTCAGAGTGGGGCTAAGCAGCGAGGACTGCAAAGAAGGTGCATTTTAGAGGGCTCCTGAATGAAGGAGCCCATCAGGGCCTCAAAGGAGGCCTCTAGTCGGGGCGATCGAAGTGGGTGCGGAAATAACGGGTACGATGCCCAACAGCAGTGCTTGCTCATTCTGAACAGGACTCGCTGTCCGCGCCGCCTCGGGCGTTGTTCATTGCAGTCAAAAAGCCAGCCTGCCCAACAGAAGCCGCAGTCGGTTTGGGACAACCTTTGTTGTTGCGGCATTGTACAATGTTTTCCGTACACATGTCAGGTATCTCTCCCCCAGTTGTCCCCCCCCCCCCCCAATATTCCAAATCCCTTCTTACTCGTCCCCCGGATCTGATTTTTTAGGGCGCCTTTATTGTAATTGTGGGGGTCCGGTTTATTAGGGCGCTCTCTTCGGATCGGATTCTAGGGGGCTCGGTTTCCTAAGGCGCCCCGTCGAAGAGTGGGGTCCTGAACATTAGGTCGCACTTGGAGGGGGGACAATTTTGTTTGGGGGGGTCGATTAATAACCCACTACAGGCGATAATAATGTACCCCCCCACTAAGGCCTTAGATTTGTATTATCTCCGTCCCACAGGATGCACTTGCGGAGAAGGGCGCGGGGGCCGAGCTTTTTAATCCACGGGGGAAGTTGCGAATCTGCGTTGCTACCATCTCATGTTGACTAGCAACAGCATCCAAATTGCTGAGCATGGCAAGTTGTATAGCCACGAGCCTCGAGATCTCTCGAATCAGTCCTGTGCCGAGCGCCTGCTGGCACGTTGTATAGCCACGAGCAACGAGATCTCTCGAGCCAGTCTTGTGCAGAGCGCCCAGGATCACCATCATCATGCTCATCGGCATCATCATCATCATCATCCTCAGCATCATAACTTACCTTCCCCGGCAAAATCCTTCATTATTTTCGCGAGACCCCCGGATTTATTATCCCCAGGTGATCAATATCGCTCGCGGTCGGTTCAGGGATTTGGAGTAGGCGACGCCCAACGGGTGGTAGGAGACCGCCTACCTCCTCCTCCTCTAGTCGCGTCAGGATATCACAATGAACGGTTGCGGTTTTTGGACGATTCCCGCTTCTGGGGTCCCCACCAGGCCCCGGTCAAAAGAAATGCGTTTTGAAAGCATTGGGAAGGATGGCTGGGGAGCCTTCGCAGGGAACGGCGAGAAGGAAGATGAAGAAGAGGACGGATGAGAAAGGGACAGCGATGTCAATGACTGCAACGACGGGATAGGGTAAGGGAACATTGGAACATGTGTGAGCACTCTCCCTGTCTCTCGTTTTCCTTTCCATTCAACTAGATACATCTATGTAGATGTATATGCAAATCCTTTCCTCCATGGTTCCCTCTCTCTCTCTCTGTCTTATCCCTCTCTTGCATTGCCGTTATATGTGTATATACATCTATATTTGTTATTCGTTATAGTTATGTCTCTCTCTCTTTTCTGTTATCATTCTGCATGTGTGCGAAGGTTGAAAGGACAAACTTTGGTTGCGCGAAGCGCCATCAACGCCTTGCATATGCTCGCAGATAAGTACATGTTTGCACATGTGTTCTTTTTTTGCATTCATCATGTACAAGGCAACAGGTGGCTCCAAGGGATGCGGGAGCAGATTGCAGCTTGTAGGTTATATGGAAAAGGGCGAGGTCAGCTGACTCGGGATGAGCGCGTCCAGCTTTGTGGCATCGACTGCGAGGACCAGCTGATCTGGCATGACTGGACACCCGGCGTGGAGGCTGTCATGGACCGTCGGGGCAAGACACCATCCGGGGAGTCGAGAGGCAGAACCCATTCTGATGCAGCGCGCTGCAGGTTGCTCCCCGCCCGACCGCATGGATTCAGCCGCTCCGTCCTTGTCTGCCTGGCCGCACCGCGGCCACGAGTACCCTCAGAGGGACTTTCTGTATACAACACGTCGCTCGGCCGACCAAGGAGCCAAGGATTTCGTCGAAGGCACTCGGTGCGCAGACGCTCCAGCGTTCCACAGGTTGGGAAGCTGGGGCGTCAATACAACGTTCTCCTTGGCCGACCAGACGCCTTGTTGTATAGTTCGATCCCCACCCGTACCCCCAGCGGTGCCAGGTGCCGGCGTGCGCCCTGCACGGGCTGAGCAGTGCTGGTTCTCCCACGCGCCGTTTCTGCAAGATTCTTACGCTCCCCGCAAGATCCTCACAAGCCCCAGCATGCTTCGCAGTATCTCACCGTGGTGCTCGAGCCGGGTAACCCGTCTCGCGTCCCCAGAAGCAGCAGACATTGTTTGTTCGAGGTCGAGTTGTGCTTTTGCCGGGCGGTAGCGAGCGCTGTTGCTCGAGCGGGACCGCGGAGCGCCTCGTTCCAGTGTGGGTGTTCCCGAGGGGACTTGGGCTTCTGGGGAAGTCTGGCATTCTCGAAGGCCTTAGGAGGTAAATCATACTTGGGAGTCGGAGGTGAAGGCTTTGTGGGCCACGGGGCTACATGGCCACGGCCGCCCCCACGCCGCCAGGCCGCCCCCCCACGTTGGAGTGTGAGCACGCACGCGACGCTCATGGCTCGTCCCGAGCTGGCCATGACGTGTGCGTCTTGACCGGACCCGCGTGACCGGCAATTCCTGGCTCTGGCTTCGACATGAATCGCACGCCTGTGCCGTCGCTGCATCCGTCGTTGCATCGCTGCTCGCGCATCTCGGTGGGCGGCATGCTGAGCACCGTCTCGGACGCGCCCGCGCCCGCTGTCCCCACGACCAGTCTCGAACCTGTAACCAAGAAGCTGTATGCACATGACGCGGCACACGTGGCGGGCTCTTCTCTGGCAAGGCACGTCAGTAGCAAAGCGCCTTGGTGCGCCAATAGGTCCACCAAAGAATGTTCTGAGGACCTTTGGTGGTCTGCAGGCAACGTTCTTAGAACATTTCTGGCTGAGACCGTCTTGCTTCAACACGTCGGGCTTATGTTCTGTACGAGAGTCGGATACACATGCGACTGGCTTTTCTCTGGCCAGGCACATGCGGCTGGCTGTTTCTTGGCCCCTGCCCTGCTTTGCAGAATGTCAACCACGTGTGCCATCAATCATCGGTAGCGCTCGGCGTCACATGATTTCCGAGACTCGTTCAATCCCGAAGCAAAGTTTGGGGAAAGGCAATCGACTTTGCCACGGGTGTCGAGGCATTGGGGTCTTGATTCATCGCGCGGCCTGTGCCTTCCAAGCTGTATGAGGGGCAACACACGTGGATGCCTTAGTCATCGTGTCGTGGTGTTCCTGGATAGTCCATACCTCATCCATCCTCTAGAATGCAGATGTTTTCCATGATGATGGTGGTTCGAATGAGGGATGTGGCAGCGGTGATGACAACGCCCACCGTGATCGCTATGGTAACGTCCTCGGGCAAGAAGATATCCCGATGGCAACGATGGATGCGAAACCCATGAACTACGGATATTGCTTTGTTATACCCATGACTATTCGGCCCAATAGGGGGTGGCAGTGGCAACGGTAGCAACATGTTGACGGCGGCGGTGACGACTACGATGGTGTTGAGGTGTTACCAGGAGTATGGCCGCCACGGCCATAAGGACGATGATGATGATGATGATGATGATGATGATGATGATGATGATGATGATGATGATGATGATGATGGTCTTCCGAAGGGTGAGCAGAATGATGATGAGACGGAGGTGGGCACGTGTATGTGTCCGGACCCCCGTGCTCACAGAAAAGGCTGTCAAATAACCGCAACCGGGGGATGATCATGCAGGGATCCAGGGCTTGGCATAGACAGTGTGTCATGTTGTTTGCGCTCGATGCGAGTCGGCTGCGTGCCCGGAAACCTAACACATTGACAGTTATTTTCTCGTTTGCTTGTGGATGGATGTAGGCCCCCCCCCACAAGCCAAAATGCTCACGGAGGGAAGGACTTGACGTTACGAAATGTGGCGCTTGTCACCCAGAAGGTGAAGTTCGTATTGCCTCCAACGCAAGAGTTCGACATGCCTTATCCCGAGCCATTCAAGCTTGCTCCTGGAGGGTCGGGAATGGCCAAGCTGTCGTAATTACGAAGTTTGTGTGGTAGTGCATGCCGTTCGTTTTGCCATAGACGGGCAGTTTAGTGTGGCTTGATGTTCGTAGGACCTGAGTCATGCATATTTTATACCGCCGGATTGTTCCATTCAGTTGACGGTACTTCTGATTTGTCGCGTCCATCAGTCGTGTTGGCTATAATGTTGATTCCACTGGTCACATGTCTACCTGGGACATGTTGAACGCTAGTGTTGATGGTGTCTAGCGCATGCCTTCGCGACAGCTTCATGAAGAAATGACAGCGGATCACGCAGCGCATGTGCTGGGACCATCTCGCATTCCTCATTCCTGCGAAATGCTTTTCACGGGAGGTATGAAGAAGAGCATCCCTATCAGCTTCAGGCCCTCTAGATACGAGCCTCACGTCGATAAGGTCCAGATCATCACAAAGGAGCACGCTACCACATGTTCTTTTCTACGCATGCGCTGCGCCATCCCATGATTGGTGCGACACTTCCCCTCGTGCGCCTGCTACGCCTCGGGCGTCCTGACCGCGGACTCAAGTCTTCCCATAGCGCCGTCGGGGGCGTGTGGTGCGGGGGCCCAGGGTGCCAAGTCGACCCCCAGACTGCCAGGGTGCCAAGTCGACCCCCAGACCGGTCCAGGGGTGCTCCCTGGTCGAGACCTCGAGGGGAGCCTGCTCGCGGCGACGAGGAGCCACCCCGGAGTACCTCAAGGGTCCCCCCCCCGACGCCCCGCACGCGATGGTCTTTGGCGAGGGGCCCAAGCGCATGCAGGAGTGAATGCTGCAAGGCCGACGCAGGAGGGGCAGCGCCCTTCTGGGGGCCCAAGCAGCGTGCGGCGGGGCGCACCGAAGGGAGAGGCGGAGGGCGCACAGGGCTCCCGCAGGGGGCCGCGAAGCGGGTGAGGCTTGTGCCACAGCGGGAGGGCGGCGGACGGCGGGCCCTCCTGCTGGAGCCTTTGATGGAGCTCCTCGTGGGGTCGCGAAACGCATGAGGGGTGTGCCAAGAGCGGGGGTGGAGGGGGCGGCATGCGGGCCCGCCTGCTGGAGCCATCGGTGGAGCTCCCCACTGGGCCACGGCACGTGTGAGGGCGTTCCGCGACTCCGTCCTCGCCCCGCCCTCGCCACCGGAATGTCAGACAGGAGCTGCACTCGTGGTGATGGGGCTGCGCGGGCGTCCAGGGCGGAAGGTATCCATGTGCACGCCGTGCGCGCGTCCCTGGCTCCTGCGTGTTTTCGACCAACCTCCATATTTGCCACGATCAGTTGGCCCTGTGCTTCAAGCCGAAATAGGGCACTCTGTCGGCACGAAAGGGGGGGGAGACATTATTGTGCGTGCTTGCGTGGCGGGTGATGGTTATCGGGACGGGAATACCGTTGCTCGCGCAGTGTGCTCCATCCCCATGGGACGGGGGGGCCACAGCAACCACATGTTGTTGGCTTGTTTTGTTTGGGGGGGAGGGTAGGCGGTAAGGTGACGGAAGTTGGTTTTCTGCGAACACAATGCAGATGTAGATGTCGCCTGGCCGGAAAGATTCGCGTGCCCAGTCAGGCGAACGTGGCCGAAACGGGATCGCCGCCATGCAGGAAAATCGAGATGTGTCGGGCATTTTTTCTCCGTGATCCAGACGCTGAATCAAAGTCGCAAGCCAATGCGCAACATTGTTTCGATTATATGTTGTAGTTATCGTTATCCCTCTCTCCATATACATATACATACATACAGAATTATATACACAGGTACGGCCACCCTTCTGGTGATAAGGAGGTTCTTTCTGTGGGGGTTCAGCTCTCGGTTTGCGATTTGGGTCGGATCGGATCCGCCGGGAATCAGTTGGGCACCACGGATTTCCACCGGTGGTGCCCCGATGTTTTCCTTCATTACCATATGGAATCATCGGGTCGGCCAGCGGAAACAGGTGGCATTTGTTTTCCCGCGCATTCTTTTGTCCAAAGCGTACTTCGAGCATCCAGGGAAATTTGTTCGTCCATATGTTTATATGCCGGGGCATCCAGCGGGAATCATCCTGGGCAACAAGCGGAAGTAGGTGGCATGTATTTGCCCGCTCACCCTTTTGTTTACACCGAACTGCAGCGGTACACAGCAATTTGTGTACTTATATCTTTTCCCTCCGGGACAATCCAAACATCTCGTGGCGACTTGCGGAACAAGTTCGCATCTGTTTGCCCGCGCGCTCCGCCCTTCGGAAGGGCATGCTCAGAACATAGGACCACGGGCCGCCGCGAGGCACCACGGGACGCAACTATCGACCTCATGATTGATCTCGTTATGCATCGATACCAGAACCGATCCCACCATAGATTCTACGGTCGATCCACAACGATCTGTCGAGATCCCTACCTATCGATATCACGATTGGTCTCCCTATCGATCTTTCTATCGGCTTACCCATCGATCTCGCTCTCTGTCTACGCGTCGACTTGCCTACTAATCTCACTACCGAGATCGCACGCGACCCCACTATCGATTGCACGATCGATCTCACACTTGAATTCACCACGAGACACCAAAGCATTGGGGCAACCAGCGGAACCAGGTGGATGTTATTCGCTCACTCGTTTTTTGTGTGTGTGTGTGGGAAAAGCACACCAACAACATACAAGACCACGGGACATTACGAGACATCGATATCCCTACCGATCTCCCAATATTGATCGGATTCAGTATCTATCGATCTCACAGTCGGTCTCGTGACCGATTTCCTCATCGATTGGTCGATCGATCTCACGATTGATCTGACTGGCTACCGATTTCGCAGTCGACCTCACTGTACACCACGGGTCACCATGGGACACCTTTGGACACCGCACTATACAACACCATGGGACACTGGTGGGACACCCCCGGACCACCGCTGGCCAACCGGAGGGGCAGATTCTTTGAATGACTTCGCCCCAGCAACGGCGGGACACCCCAGGGCCATCGCTGGCTGACTGGGGGGGGGGTAAAGTCAATGCAGTCATTTTCGCCCTAGAAGAGGCGATTTGTTCCTCTCGCCCACCAGCGCAGCTTCTCCTGGCCCGCACGAGCAACACGGTCTTGACACCGAAACCGACTTTCCGGTGGGAGGTGTCCGTTTCACTTCCAATTCACCCCGCCAATTCCCGAGATAGAATACAATACGTATGCATGCATCGACGTAGCGAGTCCACACCAATTCCAGCCAATGCGAGGCCTGCTTGGGACCGCCATGACAATGGAGACGCGAAGGGGTTCTTGGAGGACTGTCTGGGGCACCCTGGATGTCGTTTGAGTCGGTTCGGGATACGCCTCGTTGGTTCCCGCACCCAATGATGGAACGCACAGGGTGGAGTCCTAACGCAACGAACGCACGATTGGTTGTCCTTTTACGTTGTCTCCGGGAAGCCTCGTTGGAAAGTCCGCTCCGTGTCAACGCGCTTGATTGTTTGGGCAGATGCTTGAGCCGAGCAAAGATTATTGTCTCCTCCGTGTACCACTCACTCATCGTTTTCTCTGGCGTTTGTCAAGTCAGGCACGTCGGTTAGCAGGCAAGCGCCCGCGATGCTGAGTCGGAGCCAAAGTAGGTAACTAACATACTTGGCATTGCAAGCATCTTCTGTGCGACTTGCAGGGGGCGAGCTTCTTCGTCACAGTGAAAGCCGTGGTGAAGGATATTGCGCTCACGCTGCCGCCATTCATTGATTTTGGCATGTGCCCAACGGCCAGGGGGGGGGGGCGGCGAGCGTCCATCACGCCAGAGATCGATTACGGTGGATATGCAGAGATCGATTACGTGGCCCCATGCGTCTCCACGTAAACAGCATTCGCAGTAGCAGCAGAGTGTGTAGCAGTACTCGGGGGGTAGCAGCAGCGATGCCAGTAATTAGCTGCAGTCGAGAGGCCTTGGGCAGCTCCCTGGTGCACAACAAGCAGCAGCTAGAGACGCAATATCATCAGCAACGGTGGCTTCATCGTAGTCAAACAGCGGCAGCATCCCTGGCAGTAGTAGCCATCGTGGAGGCGATTGCAGATCCCTGGTGCTTCCTGGGTGCAATGCGGCTAGATTTGGAGATTGGAGCAATGCGGTTGCCGAAGCGGCACTACGGTCGGGAATTTAGGCTAGCGCGTCGCGCCGCCAGTTCTGGCCCACCACGCTTCGGCGCGACACCCTACCCACTTCCCAGTCGACAAGCGTCAACGCCCCGAGCCTTTTTTCTGAGTGTCCCGCCCGACGGTGCGTAGCGATTCGCTATCCGCCTGCAGGGCATAGCATGCCAGCATGCCGTCAGGGCCGCCACCGCGACCCGCAAACAGCAAGTTTCTGACCGTACTCTATGCGAGGTTCTTGCCATCCGAACGTTGCACCAGGTTCCAAAGACAAGCGTCCGAGGTCATGTGTGCCTTGAGATGATTATTCTGTTCGGGCGTAGCCCGAATTTGTTTCTCGCGAGGTAAACTGGACCGTACTGGACTGGACTGGACTGAAGTAAACTGAACTGAACTGAACTGACTGGTCGTATTCGTTACGCGACGGCATTGTTCTCGGTGGCGAAGGCGCAACCTGTTGCGCAACCAATAAGGGACGGTTTAGTCTCGGCGGCCGAGGGCGCAACCTATGGCGCAACCGATAGGAGAAGGTTTTATTCTCGGCTGCCGGGGGCGCAACATATGGAGCAACCCATAGGAGATGTTTTTTATTCTCGGCGGCCGAGGCTGCAACCTAGGGCGCAGCTGATAGGAAACGGGTTTCTTCTCAGCGTCCGAGGGCGCAACCTGAGGCGCAACCCATAGGAGACGGTTTTATTCTCGGCCCGGGAGGTCTCAACTTATGGCGCATACGGTAGGAAAGGATTTGATTCTCGGCGGCCAAGGGCGCAACCTATGGCGCAACCAATAGGAAACGGTTTTACTCTCGGCGGCCGAGGGCGCAACCTATGGCGCAACCGATCGGAGACGTTTTTATTCTCGGCCCCAGAGGGCTCAACCTATATAGAGCAATAGGTCGGAACGGTTTTTATTCTCGGCCGCCGAGGGCGCAACCTATGGCGCAACCGATAGGAGACGGTTTCGTTGTCGGCGGTTGAGGGCGCAACCTGCGGCGCCACCGATAGGAGACGGTTTTATTCTCGGTGGCCGAGGGCGCAACCCATGTGTGCATTTGGTATGACCAGGACGCCGTCAGCGCACTCACCGTGCTGGGGGCCCACCAGTAGTACGAGGACACGGGGCTACGCCCGATGTATGCTCGCCGTTTGGGCTGGCGGTCGGGCCCAAGCGGCGAGCTATATTCTCACTCTATGATTGGCTGACCGTTGTTCTGTTTTGCGCGAGTCCTCCTCGCCATGATGGTTACGGTACGACGTGGCAATGACTTATACGCTTGAAATACATTGGTCCGTATTGACGGTTTAGTGGAATTTCACGGCATCCTCACAATTGTAGAGGCTTCGCGCACCTTACCAGCGCATCCAGCAACGATCCCAGGCGTGGTACTTTGATCAGGGGATGTGGAGGAGCATACCGTTGGAAAAGTCTAATGGGTTGGGGAAGCCGTCATACCCCAAGAGGGGGAGGATGGAGGAGGAATCAGTGGAGAGAGAAGGGGGAAGGGGGGTGGGAGAACGGAGGAGGGACCAGGAGGAATTGGCGGATGGAGAAGAGTAGAGGGAGAAGTAGGGCGAGCAGAAAAGCCAGAGGCATCTTGGATGCCTCTGGGGGTCCCTTCGGATGTCACTTGAGAGCTTCTTGGAGTCCTTGCTTGGCGTCTTGCGGACGAGGAGACGGACGAGGAGAAGGAGGGGGGTGCAGAGGAGGACGTATGTAGGACGGCGAGGGTGGAGGTGAACATGAGGGGAAGGAGGCGAGGAAGGAGGAGGAGGAAAAGGAGGAGGACAAGAGGGAGGAGGAGCAGGACAGGTTGGAGGAGAAGGCGGAGTTTGGAGGAGGAGAGGGAGTTAGCTGGAAGAGGCGGGTAACGAGGAGGCAGCAGAAGATAGGAGAAGGGGGCGCAGATGCGCAAAATGGCGAGGAATAGCGAGGACAATGGGTCGGAAGAACAGGGGTAGATGGCCGACAGGGAGAAAGTGGCCGACGGACGAGCAGAAGAGAGAGGAGGAGGGAGAGAATGAGGGAGAAGATGAGGAGGAAGGGGGGTCTCCTGTTGTTCACCTTGCAAGTGGTGTCCCGCTGTGCCTGCGCACGCGCATGCGCTTTTGCTGTGGACGCGAACGCGGAGCGCGATAACAAACGGATAGCAAACATGGTGGGAGTTCGAGAAGTCCGAGTGCACCATAGACGTGTACAACACCGGGGCGCTCAAAGCATCCATGAGGCCCGGCCTGGCCAATGCCGCTGCAGCACAGAGCGCCTGGGGTGCTCCATGATCCTTGCTGCAGCCATGCTGTTCACTGTCGCCGAGCGGATCCTCCTCCTCCTCCTCCTCCTCTTCCTCCTCCTCCTCCTCCTCGTCCTACCTCCTCCCCCTCCCTTCAGCATTATTTCTCCTCCCCCTCCTCCTTCCCCCCTCCTCTTGCATGCCTTTCTCATCTTTCCTCCTCCTCCTCCTCCTCCTATCTACCCTGCTAAGGTCCCGCGAGGGCTTAGGAGTCCAGCGAGGCATTTGGTGTGTCTCTGGGTGCCTCGCGCGGTTGGCCCAGGGCTCCAGGCGAGGAGGTGCAGCACAGTTTTGCGTCCGGAGACTTCCTGGGAGCGAGCAGTGCGGCAAACCGTTCGCCCTGGCAGCCCAGGGGATGGGCGCTCGGTTCAAGACGGGCGTGTCCCTCTACAGGAGGAATATTCAAAAGCAGTCAAAAATAATATGGGGACGATATCCTTGTGTCCGTAATTTTGAGCATTTGTTGAATATTGTTCGTCTCAAATCCGCTTGTAGGGGGACATGCCCGACCTAGTGCTCGGTGGGCCACGCTTCTGCTGCCTTCTACTTCTTCGCAACACATGGGCGGACGCGGTCTCCACCCCACACAGTTTCGATGTACCCACGCGGTGCTGTGTCAGCACCTCAATCTCATTACCACTCACATCACACAGCATGCCATGTGTGGCATCATCACCCCCTACCAGCTCAGCACAGCATAGCATGTCGCAGCGCAGCCCAGAATTGTAGCATCGTTCACGCGAACATTACAGATCATAACTTCACGCTAGCTCAGCGTAGCGTGGCATACCATGGCACCTGATTGTCAGGATAGCGTGGCGCGTAGCGATTCGTATATTCTCTTGCGCGAGGACCTGGACCCCACGCCACGAGGAAGCGACCTGACCTGCTGGCTGGCCAGACAGCGTCTCCCCTTACCAGACAAGTAAGATCCCTTTTGTGTGAGCCCATTGGGGAGAATGTCGCAGCGAGGTGCTTCCGCCCGTTGTCTTCCTCAGGAGTTCCATTCTGGACTCCGCGGAGCTTCAAATCACGATCCATTTTGAACAACCGTAACGGTTCGAGAGCTCGGATCGGAGGACCGCGCATTTAGTTGCCATGAAAGGAAGGGGTCTTGAGAGAAACAGGTCTTAGCCCCTGGGGTTTTCCCCATGACCAATAGCTGTTTGAAATTCCCAGGGTCCGCGGGGACAACAGTGAACCAAATCGAAGGCCAGTCTCCAATTGAACCACCTTTTTTCATTCCCATCCGAAGCAAAATTATGATGTCGGATGTCTTGAGGGGAGGCGGGAAGAGGAGGAGGAGGAGGAGGAGGACGAGGAGGAAGAGGAGGAGGAGGAGGAGGAGAAGCAAGAGGAGGAGGGGGTTCAGCAGCAGGTGCAGGTGCAGGAGGAGGAGGAGGAGGAGGAGGAGGAGGAGACGTTCAACAGGCCACTGGGCGTTTCCGCCATTGGTCACTGGCCGCAAAGCCCCCCGCCCCGTCGGGAGCTTTTCCGAGGACCGAGCGCCGGAGCCCGAGCACAGCACGCGGCGGTCCTCGCTCCCCCTGGGGGGGTGCTCCCTCCACGGGGGCCGGGGCCGGCTGCGAGGTCGGGCCTGTGCAGGCTGGCTTCGGGGAGGAAAACTTCAAAATTGTTCAATAGTTACACGAAGCCAACATTGTCGAACCACATCGTGGAAAAACCGTTTCCGTACTATTTGTCATTAGTTTTGAACTTACATGCTCGACCTGAGCCTGGTGCTGATCCGATGGGGCCTGGGTGCCGTCCCCCGCGGCCTCGTGCGGCGCCGCCCCCCGCTTCACCACAGCACTGCTCGGGCTTCCTCCTCGGCGCGCACGTGGTGGCCTCCACGATCTCAGTGTGCTTCCCTCCCGCGCCCCCTCCGGCCCTCCCTCCCCTCGCTCCCTTCGTGCCTGGCATTCTGATGTTCCAACCTCTTTTAGCCTTGACCACCAGAAAGAATTTCGAGCACCAGGAAAGTACCGAAATTGGTGAGTTCTCACGTGACGGGCTCTGGGAGGCGATACTCGTTCGACACTGTTCCGGTACTGCTCTAGGTGCTCACAATTATTTTGGGGAGTTTGTCTTTGAGCACGATGGGAGCGGAGCAACATAAGCCTAGCTGTGCTCCAGCTCGCCCCGCCGCTGCTTACCGCCTTTCGGACCTCTCACGGCCGCCGGCCAAAGCAAAATGCTTGGGTGCCCGTCGGATAGCTTTTGCATCTGCATGCGGCGAGCGGGGCACAGGAAGCCCAACCGCACTGCAAGACATTCGGCGACGTCGCTGCGGGCGTATGCATCGTCCGCTTCAGTGCGGCATTCCAACCAACAATCGCAAGGTGCATTAGTGATCTCTGTGCCAGCCCTTCTGTCATGAGAGTAGAGGATACCGCCGGCTGCATAGTCCCAAACTGATTGCGCGAGAGTGTTCTCAATCTATCGTTCACCGCTCTCGTCGCCCCCATTCCCATACTTGTGTTTTCGTTGTTCACGCAGATGCCTGTTTACACAGTTTTCCGGATCCTGCGCGTTGCCTACTTGCTTGTTTCGTTGTCTGCTTGCATACATGACCAGTTTGACCCGTTTCTTTCTTGCCTGGTTCCACGTCCTGTTTGACCCGCCAGCCTCTCTGCATGCCTGTCGGAGCACGAGCCTCTGCTAGTCTTTGCGCCTACCTGCCTCCCTGCATGTTTGACTGCAGGCCTGGTTGTCGAACGTGTATGTCTGAAGCTGTTTGGCATTCTCCTCCACATTGACTCGCAGTCCCACTTCCTTCCTTGCAGTTCCGCTTCCCTCTCAATGGATGTCAGCATGTGTGCGTTCCGCCAGGTGGCACGCGAAGGCACCATTTTCTGTGAGGGCGCCAACCAATACAATCGACGTGGGTCAGGCTATCAGGTGTTCCGTGGCGTTCGATCCGCAGGATGCGTCCGTCTACGATGGGTACATCGGGTGTGAGCTCTTGAGTATGTCAGACAGTGCATCGAATATTGCTGGCTCGACTGATGGCAATCCTGCCGACGTGATGGAGTCGAAAAAGCAGTACTTCTTGCAGTGCACTGGAGTGGGCAAGATACCGCACCTCTGCGCACTTGGCTCGAAGGATCCAGTAGTCCAGTTCGGAGAGGTTTTCCCGGGAAATCGTGCGCCGCAGACTTTGGATGGGTTGGGAGGGATGGCAAGAATGAGGAAATCAGTGCAGCGCCTATCCCTCTGCCTTTGTTGTTTGGGGCTGCGATCGGAATTGAACTTCACCGTCGCTGTGATGCATGCAGGCCTCCTAACTAGCATGGTATTCCAATGAGATCCAGTGTGCCAGCTGCACCATGTAGTAATGGAGTTCATTTCCAGCAACAAACGTTCACGAGTTGCGTTTTGCTCCGCGTTGTGTTCGTCCTTCTGGTATGGTACTGTATCAATCCATCCTTCGCTGCCAGCATGTCGTAACGTTTATGTTTGGGTATGTTTCCGCCATTGCGCACATAAATGTCACCACGCTTGTTTGATTGCGCACGCCATTGCTTCTCATAGTGCGTATCAGGCAACATCCATGTTTTATCCCCCGTAAGCTCGGGCAGATGGTTGACACGCATGTGGTATCTCGCGATCCTTACATTATCCGCTCTTGTTGTTCTGGGAGGGTGCCGTCACCAAGCGGCCTGTGCAGACGCGTCTAGCGAAAGCTGCCCAGTGATAGCCTTCCTGCCTTAGAGATTAAGCGGGGGATTGGTGGAGGAGATCACCAACACGACGCAAGTGCGCGCAACGTTCCGCGTGACCGCCGTCAACGACGACGGGGCCCCAGCACCCTTGGCTCCGCAGGCTTTTTCGGTGAGTCCAGAAAGCGGCGTGGTCGAGCCTGGGCGCAACTTCGCCCTGACATTCTACTTCCATTCGCACACTGTCAAGGAGCCCCTCTCTGCGTGCACGTGTCTGCGTAGCTTCCTCGCTGCATCTGAATGAATCAGCATGCTATTCGCGCTTTGCCTGAGCAGCATCCGCTCGTATTCGAGCGTGTTCTTGTCGACGTTAACGTGGGATCAACCCGTTCTAATGTGTTGGGCATTTGGTTCTATTTTGATGTATGGGCATGCTAGTTCGACCTGTCGTTCCTAGACATGCCGTCACTTCTTTGTTGAGGGTTTCCGCCTTGGCTAGGGCGAAATCCGTCTCATGTCTCGCATCCCCATGTTGGCCAGTGGTGGGCCCGGGAGTAGTTTACCGCTGGTCTCCTTTGGCTCCTTTGGTGCTCCGTGGTGTCCCGTGGTATCCCGTGGCGCGGTGTCCCGCGGTCTCCCTTGGTGTCCCGTGGAGGTCGATAGTGAGATCGATCGTGCGATCGATTGTGAGATCGATTGAATGAGTCCGGCTGTGTGAGATCGATCGCGAGATCCGTACTGAGATCCGTAGTGAGATCGGTAGCGAGATCGGTAGACAAATCGATAGGTAGATGGAGAGTGAGATCGACAGTGTGGTCGAAAGGTGAACTCAAAGTGAGATCTATATTAAGGTCGACTGCGAGATCGATAGATGGGGAGGGGCCGCGGGCAAATAAATGCCACCTCCAGGAGCGGAGGTGGCATTTATTTGCCCACGATGGCAGCGGTGGCGGAATGATCGGCGTAGGTGTAAAGACCGTAAGATGGGTTTGGGTTCGATGAATGGGGAGATGGATTGATCGTGAACACGAAGGATAGTGAAGCTGATTGGTAGTGAGATGCACAATGAGGGCCATACTGAGATAGATAGTGGAGTCGATAGCGAGATCGGAACATAGGTAGTGGAGTTGACGGGTATTGTGGCCGATGGATGTCGAGGTCAGGCCGCTCGGCCGTCAGATCGCTAGTGACATCACTAGTGGGATTTTTTGGTCGCGAGGTCGGTAAATAGTGACATCGAGTATCAGATGGGTGCTGAAATCGATTGGTAGTGAGACTGCCCCACAGGGGTCGCTCGCCGCTGTGCGAAAATGCTTTGGACCATCTGGCATGCTCAGAATGTCGCGAGCAAGTAAGTGCCACCTCCAGCCATGGAGGTGGTATTTATTTGCCTGCGACTGCGGTGGTGCCGCAATCACCGGCTCGAGTGCGCCATCGCGGGCGTGTCGTGCCGCTAGCCAGGCTCTGCCAACCGAAGTTCCTTGATGCTCTGCTACTGTTGCGCGCTGCCCGTTCGCGATTCCCCGCTCATCACCAGCATCGCTGCCACACATCGCCACTACCACATGCATTGTCACCAGCATCGCTGCCGTGCAACGCCATCATGCAATGCCACCAGCATCGTAGTCGCGCTTCGTCGCCAATTCGTCGTCACCAGCGTCGTCACTATCACAGCCATTGCAGCTGCCATCAGTTGACCCCTCCCCGCCGCACAACCTCTTTATCACCCGAAGAGTGGTCGTATGGGTCGGAGTCTGGAGATTGAGATCGACGCGAAACGGAGACGCCTCACCGGGAAATCTGCTTCGATTGCGTGCTCGTGCCGCGCGTGCGGGCAAGGCGAAACTGCGTGGGCGGGCAAGAGATGAATCCGCCGTAGCTAGGGCGAAACTGCGTTCAATGACTCTACGCCCTCCGGATGGCCAGCGGTGGATCGGGGGTGTTCCGTCTGTGTCCCGTGGTGCCCCGTGGTGTCCCGTGGCGCTGTGTCCCGTCGTGTCCAGTGGTGTCCCTGAGGTCGAATGTGAGATCGATAGATACATTTTGGGACAAGTCGATCGTGAGATCGATGGTGAGGTAGATTGTGAGATAGATGGATCATGGTTTAGATGGATAGAGGGAGAAACGTAGTGATATCGATAATTTGACAAATTACTAGAACAGGCGAGTGGTAACGCCAGGCTCTGCCAGCGCACTCCGAGCCTCAGCGCCCACACGCTGCGAGCATGGCGTTCGCTCGCGTCTTCCACGGTTCTCTGACTGGCCCTGCCGCGCTGCCACTCCTAGAGGGTAGGCATGTTATAGTTCAGAACAAGGCACGTTGACCATATCGGTTGCGGCACAGTGAGATCTATCATAATCATCGTTCTCATCATAACAATGAACGCTTGCAGCATCACAAGCAGCATCAACACGATCATCATCACCATCTCCCTTATCGCCATCATCATCACTATCGCACCGCAGTCAAGGTGTTCGAACATCTGGTGCGCCACAGGGTGTCATTTCGATACTGAGATCGTTGGTCGAGGGACTGCTAGGTAGGTGGTGGGTTTGACCGTGAGTCGGATACTGAGCCTGACTGATGAGGGGCTGGGGGGCGATATCTGTAGAGAATGAGATCGGTCGTGAGATCGGTATTTGTGTCCCGTGGTTTTGTAGGTTCGTCGTTCTTTCTTCTGAGAACTCTTCGTTCTTCCTTCTAAGAACGAAGGTGCGCGCGGGCTTGGGCCGAGTGTGGCATCGAGGCCGAAGGCGATCTATAGGCTGATGCGTAGACAGAGAGCGAGATCGGTAGTGAGATCGATCGATCGATGACTCGATCGAGAGCTCGCTCGAGAAATCGATAGAGAGATCGGTAGCGAGATCGGTAGTGAGATCGGTGGGCAGTGAAATCGACTAATATACGATATCGTTAGTGGGATCGATGGTGGGACCCGTAGTGGGATCGATAGATCGTGACATCGATAGTGAGGTCGATAGTTATGTTCCGTTGTGTCTCGCGGTTTCCCGTGGTCTTGCGTATTCAGAGTTTTTTTTATTCTGAAGGGGAAAGCGCGTAGGCAGATACATGCAACCTGTATCCGCTGGTTGCCCCGATGTTGTATGATTGATGCCCCGATACGCAGAGAGATGGGTTACACTCATTGTTCTGTACGTTTGCAGTACGTCCTAAAGAACGTACGGAGCGAGCATACAAATACTACCTAGTCGTTGTGGTTGCCCCGCTGAATCCTGTTGGATGCTCCGATACTTAGAGTGGACAAGCCTGTTGTCCTTTATGTCCGTAACGAGCTCTAAAAAGTATGGGACGCGGGTAAACAGATGCCGCCTGTTTCCGATGGTTGCCCCGATGACCCCCGATGATTACCAAGGACGCCATCGAGACACCAGCGGTGGTGCTCCTTGGTGCCCAATTGGTGTCCGCCAAATCGAATTATACCCCAATTGCACACATAAAGCTGAACTGCCCCCCGTACAACCTCCTTATCACCCAAAGGGTGGTCGTATAGGTATAAATCGGAGGTTAGGGCGGTGGGATCATCAGAGTGAGGGGGCCGAATGGTCATTCACTGTCCCTGGGTGCGTGGCTGAAATGGGGATCCACGATGAGGATTCTGCTTGTTTTGTTGCGTCGTCCCCCCCGCGACCCGGCCCGCGACCCACCCGCGACCCACCCTGCGACCCACCCGCGACCCACCCCGCGACCCACCCGCGACCCACCCGCGACCCACCTCGCGACCCACCCGCGACACGCCCGCGACCCACCCGCGACCCACCCGCGACCCGGCCCGCGACCTACCCGCGACCCACCGTCGACCCACCCGCGACCCATCTGCGACCCAACCCGCGACCCACCCACATTGGTTCAAAACAAAAAGATCGGCGCCTGCGGCGGGCTCGTTGTATAGCTTGAAAACTTCTGCGCCTGCGGCGGGCTTCTTCAGAGCCTCGCAGACCGCCGACGTCCGCCCGCCCCCTCACTCTTATCCGCAACTGCTGGGTGCTACGTAGTGAAACCAAGAGCCCCCCACCCAGAAATCGATGTCGGTTTCGTGCCGCGCTTGCGGGCGAGGCGGAGCTGCGTGGGCGAGCGGGGGGAATGATGCCGCCCTGGCCAGGGCGAAGCTGGGCTTAATGTCGTTCCTCCCCCCCAACGGCCGGCGGTGGCCCAGGAGTGTCTCGCCGGTGTCCTATGGTGTCCCATAGTGCGGTGGATCGATTGTGAGGTAGATGGAGTGAGATCGAAAGTGAGATAATTTTTGAGTTAGTGATACTGGTCGACAAATAGTGATCAATAGTGATATCGGTCGACAAATCGTGATATCGGTAGTGAGACCAGTAGTAGTAGTTGGATCAATAGTGATAGCGGTCGGCATATCGATAGTGAGATCGAAAATGAGATCGATAATGAGGTCGATTGCGAGATCGACAAATCGTGAGACCGATAGATAGAGGGTGATCGATGGTGATATCGATAGATGATGGAGAGTGAGATCGATAGTATGGTCGATGGGTAAACTGAAAATGAGATCGATAGAAAGATCGACTGCGAGGTCGATAGATAGAGATGGGCCGCAGGAAAATACATGCCACCTCCAGCAGAGGAGGTGGCATTTATTTCCCGCGATGGCACGGCGGCGGGACTATCGTGAAGGTGACGGATAGTCAAGCCGATCGGTAGTGAGATTCATAATGAGATCGATAGCGGGATCGGTAGTGATGTCGATAACGAGATCGATACACAGGCAGTGGGATCGACGGATATTGAGGGCGATGGATATGGATATCCATATTGCTCGACAGTAAGACCGCTAGTGGGATCGCTAGTGTCACCGATAGTGGGATCCATTGGTCGCGAGGTCGGTAGATAGTGACATCGAGTATGAGATGGGTGCTGAAACCGATTGGTAGTGAGATTGCGCCACAGGGGTCGCTCGCCGAAGTGCGAAAATCTATTGGACAATCTGGCGCGCCAAGGGGGTCGCGGGTAAATAAATGCCACCTCCAGTAATGTAAGTGACATGTTTGTTACCTGCGAATGCGGTGGTGCCGCAATCACCGATGCGCGTGCGCCATCGCGGGTAGCCAGGCTCTGCCAGCCGAAGGTGTTTGGTGCACCGCTACTGTCGCGCGCTGGCCATTTGCGAGGTCCCGCTCATCAGCATCGTCGCAGCGCATCGCCACTACCACATGCATTGTCGCTAGCATCGCTGCCGTCCATCGCCATTGCGCATTGTCACTGGCATC